ATGGCGGTCTTCCACTGTGCCAATGACTTTCTAAGACAGTACATGTACACAAAACTCTCTGCCTGCCAGTTTGCACTACCTTTCTTAGTCCCCAACCCGTGTACAGAAGACCTGGAATTCCCTCTTTGGCCTCTAAGGCACATCAAAAGATCATGGAAAAGTATGACAAGCACAGACAACCCTGGAAAATACCAAACCAGGCAAATGTTTAGCACACCAGTGCCAGTTGTCTCCTTTTTAAGGTTGGGAACCTCTTTCACCTCCAAATCTCAAATTCTGAATTCTGTCATTAGTAAACAGAGACACAATGTGTTCTTCAATCGGCACTGTAAAGGCAGTGCTCCAAACAGCATGCTTATGAATGGGGTTGTCGAGATCGCCTGGTACTGTCCAGGAGGAAAGAAAGATGACATATTTGATGACTGTGTTGCGTTTCTAAACCTTCATGGTGACGCAAAAGACCATCGACAGCAACTTCAATTTCTGCAGGCAGTGAGTACGGTGAACGTGCTTCTATTGTCAGAACAGCCACAGGATGAAGAAACAAAAACAATTTGTCAAAATCTCTCTCAGTCTCCTGTCCCATTGATCTGCCTATTTTCTGGAAGTGAAAGGGTTCAGGGTTCAAAAAATCCACTCATAGTGAAACTAGCTGCCAAGAACAGGAATGAAGCAGAGTTAACAGAGGAACTCATAACCAATATCAAGCGATGCATTGGAAAATATAACAAGAAACAGAGCATTGAAAACTGTTCTAATGAAGTAAGAAAACTGAAGTTCAAAGTTGATGAAGACAAGCAGTCATTCAAAGATGGACATGCACTGGCGCAGACTTTAGTTTGTTTGTTGAAGGAAAAACGCATTTCAGATATCAAAAAAGAGTTTCTGCCCCTGCATGGTGAACTGTGGCATAACTGGTGCTTGAAAAATAAGCAGCAGTATCGCCTGAGTTGCAAGACAAATGAAAGCATTGAACAACAACAAAGTGTGATTGTAAGTGACATGAAAGCCACACGTCAAAAACAAAGGAAAATAGCTTCGTCACTCAGTGATTTTATGAGATCATTCTTGGTCTGTTTAATATCAAGTGATCATTCAGAAGATACAAAATTCTACATGTTGCAATGGCTCAGAGTTTTACTCGATGAGTTATCTTCTGACCACCTTGCAAGACTTGAGGAGAATTACCACTCAACTTGGTCCCAAATGAGAAATGTCCCCAAGACTAAGGAGAAAGCAGAAGAACTTGATAAGCTCAGAAAACAGATTAATTCCATATCTGAAAAGATGGCTGCAAGTACAATTGGATTACAGCACATCATGAGAGAGGTCGGTCAGATGTATGAATGTTCTGATAAACAGTCTGTTGCTGCTCTCCCTGCAATAGGAGCTGAAATGCTAATTTCAGGATACCCACTAGAACTGATGGATGGGGATGAATCACATGTACCCCTTATTTGGATACATGCTGTCCTGAAGAGTGTCATTGATATGCTTGCGGACAAAAAGGTGTATGTGCTGTCTATCTTGGGACTCCAAAG